ATAACAGCGGGCAGGTTTAGGGCTCCATTGGGCAGGTTTGAGTCTAACGTGTGTGCGTGAAAACGGTGGATAGATTTGGGGCTACTGGGCCTGATCCTTAATTGGGGATGTGTGGCCGCCATCACGACCCCCGATTACCCCACATAGTGTCCCAATACTCGCTCAGATTGGTACCAGACTCGGTTTATACTTGGATCATCAATATCTGATCACGCGACATTCATTGGAGCCGGGGATGCTAGATTGCCTCGCTGTGAGGCATTCAAATTTTTTTTAATGATACTAAGTAGGGTGAATTATAGGCTTGCTGCTACTTTTCGACATATTTAGAGCTACTTTACTAGTTTTGTGGTGCGGATGACAGTCATTTATTCGATATTTGAAACACTGCAAATAACAAAAAAAAATGCACAATACCGTGACTGGAACGATACACAAATAACCCGCACATGGAAGAGAGGAGCTTACGACGACGTTTCGGTCCGACTCGGACCATTTACATAGTGTGACTTTGTAATTGGTCCAAGTCGGACCGAAACGTCGTCGTAAGCTCCTCTCTTCTATGTGCGGGTTATTTGTGTATTGAAACACTGTAGTACGAAGGCATTATAGTAAAAGAAATTGACATTTTGTAATGAATTATGTTGATCGCGAGGAGTCCATGTTGAATCCAGGTTCAGAGCCTGCATCAACAGAACTGCTAAGCAGGACACTGGGTCGCGGGTTCGGTAAGGTTCTTTACCCCCACAAGTTGTGTTGTACGACCCCCCCCCTCCCCTTCCCAGTCTCCCAGTTATACCACGCTGATTACATGCTTCACGTTAAAAAAATCCCATAAAATGGCCACGACAAAGATCTGGCTGAGGTTTGGGAGTGCAATATAGCTGGTTTTGTTTTTGAAAAGCCACGGAAAAGTGTATATACATCAGTTGGCTAAACTGGTGCAAGAGGTAGGGTGAAGATTTTGTCATAGGTGGGATGTGACTGACCAGAACCAGTGAGAGAAGTGACTGGTTAAGAAGCAGGTTGAAAATATATGCGCTGGTAAGGTTGTTTTCATTTTCAATCTGGGTAAAAGTGGAAATTAAGGTGGTATTGGTTGATGGTTCTTCAGTATGCTGTAGCCTGCCTGCTTTTTACATGTAGCTCAGTTAACTGAAACAGAGCATATAGGTTGACAAAATGTATTCACATTTCGCTGGGGGCTGTCCTGTTGCTAGAACTAAAAATAATAGTAGTAGTAGTTTCCTTTTTGTAACTTTGTTTCTTTTTGTGTGTAATTATCTAAAGCATTTAACTTGTTGGTTCTGGGTTCGACGCTAACGTTTGCCTTCCGTGACTCCGTGGCCCAGTGGCTAACGCGACGGTCTGGAGTTTTGAGACTCTTTGATCGCGGGTTCTATTCCCGTCCGTGGTATGGTTTGTTTGCGTTCCGTGTCTGTATGGCTATTAAAAAGCTCAGGTGGAAAGGAATTGGCATTGTGTCCTGCCCACCTGAAGTGCCTCCGTTGCCACAAGTAAAGTAGTGCAAGACAGGTATACAATACCGACACTTGTGCAACATCTGGTTATCTTTATTGTAGACGTTTCGCCATCCAGTGGCTTTATCAATACAGATTCTTGGACATAACAAGAAAACAGAAGAACTATAAACAAAAGATGAGGTAATCAGTCCCTCGCCTTGGAGGTGGTGTTTAGAGCACCGTGGTTGTAGAGATTCTGAATCTCTACAATCTCTGTTTTCTTATGTCCAAGAATCTGTATTGATTAAGCCACTGGATGGCGAAACGTCTACAATAAAGATAACCAGATGTTGCACAAGTGTCTTAACTTTCATCACAAGTAAAGTACTAGAAAGGATATAAAAAGTACTGGTTTGGAAATAGAATAGTCGATGAATTGAACAGTTTGCCTAGTAGGGTCATTGAAGCTAACGTCTTGGGTAGCTTCAAATATAGGCTAGATAAATACACCGAGTTAGATTTGAACAGGACTAACACAATATGAGTTAATGTCATCATAATTTATTCCTTGGATACCATTGAAAAGGGAATGGGCAAATGTTTTTGTAAAGTGTGTGTGTTTTAGAAGGATCTGCCTAGTATGGGACAGTAGGACTGCTGCAGTGTTTCTCCTTTCTTATGTTCTTGTGTAAGTGCAACATAAACCCACTGAGAAGCAGGTTCGCCATGGGCGCAGTAAGGAAACACTGTGTTGACGCCCATGGTCCCCGTCTATTGACATCTTACAAAAAAAAAAAAACCCACTGCTGGGACATGTTCTTATATGTCAAAAGAAGTGTTAGTTTATCTGGGCAAACGCGCTCCTCGTAGTCCTCTTTATTTGGTTTTACCCATTCGTCTTACGGGTTCATTCCAATGTAATCCGTCTCCACAGAGGTGCCAGTGGTTACATAAATGTATACATACAGGCGTCACACGTTACTATGGTCACGCGTTACACAGGGGCCACAGTCCTTAAAACAGTCTGGTTAATAACTGCATCTCGGGACTTCACCGTTCCACATTGAAATTCAAAGCTGTAGAGGATGACTTCAGACAGATATCTAAAGACAAAATATATTGTAAAACTAAAATAAAATGGAATTTTAAGGATCTTCAGAGGTCTGGAGCAGCGTAGATTTGTTACTATGGCAACCACCGGATGTTCGACAGGGAAAGAGGAGGGAGCGCTCTTCAGCATTTGCAACGCCACAGCTACCACGGCCACTATTATCTCATATCAGTCCTCCACTACTTTGTTCTTTCCACTGTACTCCCAGTGTTTCAGCTTCACGTCTGCCCCACCACGTAATAAGCTACTCAACATTGGTTTACTTTTGTTAGAGCTATCAGAAATGAAACGGGATTTAATCTGTCGCACTTCATTGTTGAAGCTTTCATCTTGCTCGGCGTGTTGTTGGTGATAACATGCTGTTTGCCCATATATTTAAATATATAGACGCGTCTGTTCAAATGCATATATTTTGTTAAATGTACAAGCCTTCCCTGATAGCAGCAATGACACGAAGAGGGTGAGAAGGTGCAGCGTGCTTGTCGGTGACTAGATAGTTGAGCAATATGATAGTCCTATAGCAGGAGCAACAGCAGTCAGAAACCACTCTTGCCTTTACTGTTCGTCTGTCTCTCCGCTTCATTTATTTGTAGAATCGTGGGGGAGGGAGGGACCAGCAAAGCCAACTTCTACCACCTTAATTCCTTTTTTTTTTTTTTTTTTTCCATCGTTCACCTCCCTTCCCCCCTCTTCCCGCCCAACTCTGCCTCCATTCACTGAACAGGAGCGCGTCACCCACCCTCCAGATCCCATGCATCCACCAAACTTCCGCGCGTTCCCCCCAATCCGTCGCTAGATTGCCCCCCCCCCTCCCCCTCCCCAACACGCAGCCGCCGCGTTTGCTGGTGGTGTTGCTTCCCTCTCCCTCCCTCGACACCGCTGCGCGTCTCCCACCTGCGCATAGCAGCGGCTGCTCTGCCTCCCCCTAGCGACCTCTACCGACGACGCTACCTCCTCCACCACCGCCGCCACTACCTTCATTACCACTACCCAGCACCACCACCACCGTTGTCTAGCATCACTACCTACACCGAACACCACTACCACCGTTGTCCAGCACCACTACCACCACCGTTGTCTAGCATCACTACCTACACCGAACACCACTACCACCGTTGTCCAGCACCACTACCACCACCGTTGTCTAGCATCACTACCTACACCGAACACCACTACCACCGTTGTCCAGCACCACTACCACCACCGTTGTCCAGCACCACTACCACCACCGTTGTCCAGCACCACTACCACCACCACTCAACACCACCACCACTCACCACCACCACTCAACGCCACCACCACCACTCAACACCACCACCACTCAACACCACCACACCACTCAACACCACCACCACCACCACTCAAACACCACCACCACTCAACACCACCACCACTCAACACCACCACCACTCACCACCACCACTCACCACCACCACCACCACTCACCACCACCACCACCACTCACCACCACCACACCACACCACTCAACCACCACCACCACTCAACACCACCACACCACTCAACACCACCACCACTCAACACCACCACCACTCACACCACCACCACTCACCACCACCACTCAACACCACTCAGCACCACCACCACCACTCAGCACCACCACCACTCAGCACCAACTCACCACCCCACTCACCACCACCACCACTCACCCACCACCACTCACCACACTACCACTCACACACCACTACCACCACCGTACCCAGCACACCACACCACCACGTACCCGACACCACCACCACCGTAACCCGACACCACTTAGCACCACCACCACTCAGCAGCACCACACACCAATAGCCTTATCTTCACATATCAAAATCTTTGAATGGGTCTTTGATATTCACCTTAAACCAGCAAATAATAAGGCCAACAAGATTTGGAGAATACCACTGGAACCCTCATTTTTCACTAACAGTGATGATCTGATAGGAAATATAACCGTATCGAAGACAATACACGCAGATCACAACATAATAGAGGACAAGCAAAATGCAGACGTAGTATACACAGACTTTGGGAAATCCTTCGACAAATGCGACCATGGTGTAATAGCTACAGTGAAAAGCTGTTCCACAAGGCACAGTGCTCTCCCCCATCCTGTCCATCCTCATGTCTGACACATACATTGATGTGCCACAGCACCGTGTCTTCCTTTGCGGATGACACCCGAATTTACACGACAGTGTGTGTGTGTGTGTGTGTGTGTGTGTGTGTGTGTGTGTGTGTGTGTGTGTGTGTGTGTGTGTGTGTGCAAGAATGATATACAATACCGACAAGATGAAATTAAGACACATGTGCAACATCTGGGTATCTTTATTGTAGACGTTTCGCCATCCAGTGGCTTTATCAATACAAATTCCAGGACATAACTTGACGCTTATAAGCGTCAAGCGCCTTACTTCTGCTTCAGAATCTCCACGACTATGGTGCTCTTCGTACCTACTCCTAGGTTGAGGGACTGATTACCTCATCTTCTGTACATAGTTATACTATCTTCAAGTTATGTCCTGGAATTTGTATTGATAAAGCCAGTGGATGGCGAAACGTCTACAATAAAGATACCCAGATGTTGCACATGTGCCTTAATTTCATCACACGACAGTGTCCTCCATCGAAGACAATGCAAGATTCCAAGCGGAAATCAACCAAATCTTTAAATGGGCCGCGGAAAATCTGAAGTTCAATGACTAGAAATTTCAATTACTCTGATATGGAAACTGAGGAAATTAAAACTATATCGGAGTATAAACCAAATTCCAACCACACAATAGAGCGAGAAACTAATGTGAAGGACCTGTGAGTGATAATGTCGGAGGATCTCGCTTTCAAAGATCACAACAATGTATATCACATCTGCTAGAAAAATGATGGGATGGATAATGAGAACTTTCAAAACTAGGGATGCCAAGCCCATGATTCCCTTTAAATCGCTTGATTTTCCTAGGCTGGAATATTGCTGTACGCTAACGGCGTCTTCAAGGCAGGTGAAATTACTGATCTTTAAAATGTACAGAAAACTTTCACGGCACACATAAGTACGATAAAACACCTAAATTATTGGGAACGGTTGAAGTTCCTTGACTGTATTCTCTGGAACGCAGGCGAGAAAGATACATGATAATATAAAGTAGAGGGATTAGTACCAAATTTACACATGGAAATCACTCCCTAAAAAAAGAAAAAGACTCGGCAGGTGGTACAACATTTTCCTACCCCCCCCCCCAATGAAAAGCAGGGGCGCCACGAGTATGCTAAAGAGACAACACAGTAAGTGTCAGGGGCCCAAAACTTCAATTGCCTCCCAGCATACCTAAGGGGGATCTTCAGCAAGGCGCTGGACAGGCACCTAAGTCAGTTCCTGACCAGCCGGGCTGTAGTTCGTACTTCGCTTTGCATGCGGCCAACAATAACAGCCTGGTTGATCAGGCCCTGATCCACCCCGAGGCCTGGTCACAGACCGGGCCGCGGGGGCGTTGGTCCCCGAAACCTTCTCCAGGTATACTCCAGATATACCTTTGACGAGTTTTGAGAGTTTCCACTCCCAGAGCCCGACCGTTGGTTAGGCTCGGTCTTGTGCTTGCCCGGTCAACCAGATAATGTTTTCTAAATCATTTATACATACTGGTCACCAAGACTGTTTTTGTCGGTGACCCGCTGATGAAGATCTCCATCACAGCCTAGTTGATGTGCCACCTGCTGAAAACACTTGTTTAATTAACTTTTAAAAACTTCTAAACTTGTCTCAGCAGTGTTTCTGATATGTTAGTAAGATGTTGAATAGTCGGGGACCGTGGACGTTACCTTATTGCACCCATGGCGAACCTGCTTATTTTGCACTTACACAAGAACATAGAGGAACACTGCAGCAGGCCTACTGGCCCATACTAGGCAAGCCCTTCTGAAACCCAAACCCTTTTATAAAATCATTGATTAATTTCATTTTCAATGGTATCCAAGGAATAAGTTTTGATAACCATATTAACTGGTATTGTGTAAGTCCCTCTCAGATTAACGACTCCCATTCGTGTATTTATCTAACCTATATTTGAAGCTACCCAAGGTTTGACTTCTATGACCCTACTATGCAGACTGTTCCACTCATCTATTTTTCCAAACCAGTATTATCTACTTCCTTTCTAAATCTAAGCTTATCTAGTTTGAATCCATTATTTCTTGTTCTTTCTTGAAGAGATATCCTCAGAACCTTATTTATATTTCCTTTATGCCCATCCATTTATACCCTTCAGTCGTCTCTCTCCTCATTTTACATCTTACGTGGCACCCTATCAGAAGCTTAATTAAAACACAAATAAACAGTATCTTATTCTTAATCATGATCAGCTACCTCAAATGCTTTACTGAAGACAAATTAGTGAGGCAGGAACGGCCCCTGGTGACTCCATGTTTTGTATCATAAATCGAATTGCTTATTCATATCAGTGATATAATTGACTAGTAATTTGTCTACGTTTGGGGTCAGGCTTATTGGGTGGTAATTTGATGGCAGTGGCTTATCTCCACTTTTAAAAATATCGCTTAAATTAGCAATCTTTCACATCTCGTATATTACACCATTTTTGCATGCGTTAAGATCCCTTGGGGGGGGGGGAATCATTAGGGCCTGAAGACTTGTTTTGCTTTAATCGGTCAACCTGTTTGATTATCATCTCCGTAGTCACTGCGGTATTACATTTTCTTCTTCAGGCCCACTGTAATAATTACTGAGATATAGTTTGTGTCGTAAAAACCGAGAGGAAATGTTAAAAAATGAGCACATTTCTTTTTCAATGTCAGTAAGCTGTTCAGTTAGTTTAAAGAGAACCTAGCTTTTGTCTAACCTGTGTTCTATATATTTAAATAAAAAAAAATCTTTCTGGTATTTTTTCGAATCCTTTGCAACTTTAATTTCGTAGTGCCGTTTAGCTTTTCTTATACCTTCATTAATTTCCCTCATAATGTGAATATATTAATTCATAAGATGACCCTCACCTATCTTTTTACGCTTATAAATGCTTTTCTTTTGCCCTAAAAGATGTTTAAGAATGTTTCAGATCGCTCCTATTCAGTCATATTTCTCTTAACGGAATAAATATTCTTTGAACAGCTAGTGTAGTGTATAGAAAAGTGTCATATTGACAGTTGTCTTCGTTATTCCCAGTCCACACACAAGTGTTCTCTAAGCCCATTGTAACTGTTGTATAAATGGTTTGGAAAACCGACAAGTTGATAAATAAGACATTTGTGTAACATTCTGGCAATGACTTCTTGACTCCAGTACTGAGGAGAGCAGTAGAAGCTGAGGAATAGTTTAAAGTAATCATTCCCTCAGCCTGTCAGTTTTCTAAACAATTTATACAAATTCTTTCAGACACATCAACATTTTGGTATCTTGACGCAGGAAATTCCTCAGGTTTGCCTAACGTATAGGCATGATCTACTTCCACTAGTGGACTTTTCCAAGTTTGGGGAGACAGGATATCATGTCTGATATTAATTTTTCATGTCCCTTTGAAAATTCTACCCAGACACTGTATGTGCTCTTTCAGTCTTTGTTGCCGGATTTATAAATCAGTTAGTTTTTTCGGATATGTGGTACTATCCCAATTCCCTTCCCGTTATTAATGTCAGCTTGGAGCAGCTTGAATCTGAGATTCTTTCAAGACTATAAGTAAGTAAGTAAGTTTATTCATTCAGGTATACACAAATACAGTTACATAGAATTATCATACATCACTTGCTCTTAGGCTGAGCATCTTCATCTTCCACTGTCGTCTGTATATATTTGTAGTCTACAGATTATGTCCATGAATTGTATTGATAAATCCACTGGATGGCGTAACATCTATGAAGATGCCCAAATGTTCAGCATATGTCTAATTCATCATTGTCGGTATTGCATATCATTGATATACAAAAGAAAGGAACACTGAAAATAACCCCCATAGTTATAAACTAGGTGATCAGACAGAATACGTTAGACAATAGTTCATTAGTATCCTCAGAATCTGTTATTCGGCCAGTCATTGTCATGGCCTGGAAAGTGATATATCGCAGTGAAATGTGGACAAGTATAAAGTTCTAATCCTTGGGAATGAAAATAAACCCTAGTTATAAACAAGATGTAGAGCTTGATCATACAGAATGTGAAAAAGACTTCCGAGTCCTGGTAAGCAGAAATCTGAAGCCAAGGCAGCAGTGCCTAAGTGTGCACAATGAGGTTAACATTATGTGCTTAAATTTATATCAAGAATAATGAATAACAGGAGTCCAGAAATTATTTTAGATCACTGTACATAACTAGTAAGGCTTATTAGTTTTGGTCTCCATTCTACAGAATGGATATAAATGCATTGGAGGATATTGTATACATTGTATAGAAAACCGACAATTGTATGAATGAAACTCTTGTAACATTTGGGTATCTATTGTGGATGAAACTTTTCACCAGCCAGTGGCTTCATCAGTCTAGTACAGGGAAGAATGGAAGCTTGAGGTAATCAGTCCCCCAGCCTGGATGTGTGTTCGGTCCACCAGTCTTTGATAGAAGTGCAGCATTTGAAGTTAAGTAAGGTTTGTCAGGAAACAGGACAAGTGTTTCCTGACTCGGGTCTTAGTCATATGATGACCCGAGTCATCATATGGCTTACCAGTCCACTCGTTGAAAAGTTATAACGATTAGAAATATGTGCAGCACATGCACGGAGAGGGGGTTTATATACTCTCGTCAGAATCTCAGGATGTTGCTATGTCTTACATATTTTATAAATGATTTAGAAAACCGACAAGTTAATGAATGAAACACTTGTGCAACATTTAGGTATCTTTATTGTGGAGGAAACGTTTTGCCAGCTAATGGCTTCGTTACTCAAATACTCTTACTTCTACTCATTCCTCTACAATTTTGTCCTCGTGTGTGTTCGCACCTGTATGTTGATTACACTACATCGAGGTCATTCCATTTTCCGACCATCCTGAAACTGAAAAATTACTTCCTGATATCTTTATGACTGTCTTCCAGCTGTACCCCAGAGTACCCGTTTCCAACCTCTCAAATAGCCTGTCCCTGTCTACCTTGTGAATCTCTGCGAGTATTGTATATGTTATGTCTCTCCAGGTCCTCCTGTCCTCCAGGGTCGTTGGATTAAATTATTTTAGCCTCCATAGCTCTTAGCTCTGGAACTAGTCTCGTTACATACATCTACACTTTTTCCGTCTCTTAACATACTTTCTCAGGTGTGGCTTCTATATTGGTGCTGTGTACTTCAAGGTGGTCTTGACACATGTTGTATAAAGCACCCGGAATGATTCTTGTTGAGATTCCTGGAGGCCATTCAGATTTGCCAGGCGAGGATTGGCTACAAAGGTTATTCGGCTGATGTGCTGCTGGCGACATGCATACTCCCAGGACGTGCCGAGTCTGCAGACTCGGTCCCCGGAGTCTTCTCTTGGGTCCAGTCTTGTGGATTCTTTCCCAATCTTCATAAATGTGCATTTGCTGGTGTGTGAGCATGCACGTGCACACGTTGTGGTGCATGCTTATGTTGAGAAAGTAAACAAGTGGTTTTAGGGACTTATTCGGACTTGTTCTCGAAGTTCGAATTACAGTGCCTACTCTATTGATGGATCGAGTTGTCGCAGTTCGGCAGTTGATCTGATTTGCGATGTCGGTGCACTTCTGGAAAGACAGCTATAAACAGTCTGATGGTGAATGGGTTTTGGGTCAATACCTTGGTTGGATTTGTTTAAAAAACTGATTTACAACGTGCAACAAAAGATGAGCTAATTTGTATTGTTGACTATTGTTAATAATTGAAATATTGCAGTACATGAATTATCTCCAATATAGCGCATGTATTCTTAAAGTACACGCGCTTATGGCTCTTAGGTATAAGTACTGTAAATCAAATTACGTGATTTCTGGACTCTAGGTTCGATACTGAACTTTTGAATCGGTGTGTGGTATTTGACTCCATCTTTCTATTTCATTCTACGTATTACACGAGACTGAAAAAAAGTATTTTGTCATCACTGTGGCTCATATACCACAGCAATTAAGTTATGTACAAACTCTTCCGCATCTTTAACTACCTTTCCTTGTTCACTCTAATACATTGAGAATGTTGTATATCATCTCTTGATATTTGTTAAATGTTAATATTTTTGCGGATCATCGGCCCCTTTGGACAGGTCTGAGCCGTGGGTACGATGATCTCCATAACCATTAAGGGATAAGTCTCGCCAGACCAGGCTTCTTAAATCGGGAAGGAAATATTACAGGAATTATAACTTCGAAATCTACATTTTTTAAGTTACTGAGGCACTATATACTAAACAGTTGCGAACGTCTAAAATTTATGCAGCGAGAAGTATATATCATAATTCACACGAGGACAATACTAGAAGGGCTACTCGCTGAAAATAAAACGGGTGCAGTAAGTACACCGAGACTTCGATAAACATAAATGGTTGGAGGCTTATGAACATTCTCACTTTAAATATCGAGAAATTACAAATAAACCACTGCCTGTCAAGAGGAACGTGGCAAGCTCTCAAAAGCTCCTAATCAGCAAGGCTGTGGTACCCACTTCGGAATTTGTGCAAGAAATCAGCTTGAATGACCAGGCCGTTGACCAGGAGGCCGGGCGATAATCCTCGGAGCTATCGACAGGTAGGTAGTACAGTTCGTATTCTTTTTATTAGTTTCTTATCTTCGCAGGTCATGTATGCATGTTATCAAGAATAATAGATTACCTTGTATACTTTCCTTGTAGTTCCACTAGATGCCGTTACCCATAGAACACTTTCCTCCCATACTATCACTGTCTTGCTTTTCAGGTACTGCTTGATCCGCTGGAAAACTTCCGTTTTCACCCCTCTTTGCTTATGGTATCTTTTGGATCACTATCTGGAGGAACTATCAAACGCTTCCCTGCTTTCTCAGTGACTTGTAAGTCACTTGGAATCTTCGCACGCGCGCGTCCCCCTCTTCCAACCCCTGCCACACACTCCTCACCTGGGCAGGTCGAGACGTATTTACCAGCCTCCTTACTCCCTCTGCTGCTATTCACCTTCAGTGAATACGTACCAGGGCAATAGTCGACTGTTATGGGTGGCATCCTAAGGACTAGTCAAGTACCGCGAACCACTTAGTCTCGGTTGACCTAATAACGCACTGTTTGTGCCCATGAAACAAAGTACAGGACGCACGAATCATGAGAGATGAAAGACTAAACCTGAACCCCCCCCCCCCTCCACCTCTCTCCCTGTTACCCCCTCACTCCCCCTCTGTAAGAGAGAGCGCTCCAGTACCTTTCTTCTGTCCCATTATATTTGGACACTGCTGTGTAGTGCTATTTTTTTTTTTTTTTTGGAGTGGAAAATATATAATTTTATCTTAAGATGTGATCTTTAAAAGTTTTACTATGTGGACCGGTATACTAGCAGACAAATAAAGGTTCATCATATGTCATCATAAGACCCGCAGCCAGAAAAATTTTTACGCCCCTTGGCAAAGAAAATACAACTACTATCTGTGACAATCTTTTCTGTTAATTTGGACATACTACATGTCATTGATACCTTACTGTAGTATACTTGTAGACATTTGTTTTGCTTTGAAAGATTCTGCTAATGCATGCATTCTGGTGTTCTATCTCCCGTCCCCTTCATATGTGTTAAATTCAGCTTGTAATAGATTATTAAAGCTTAACTGTGTGTGGTCACATAGTGGTATTCCATAGCCACTTTTACCGTAAGTACATCTCGTACTCAGATTGTGTACAGTCCACAGCTCGGTGCTTCAACGTAAGTCACTTCACTTAACAGTCTTCCTTAACTTGGTTTTCTCCCTTCCCTTACGTCTTTTTTTGTTGAATATTTCTTATTGTAAAGCCTGCTGTTTTAAGTTTCTCTTAAGTGTTTTAATTTATTGCCTACTCCATATATTTAGTTGTCATCTGCTATTTTCCTTTAATTGTATAGTACTTTATATAAAATCTCTGATACCTGTAAAATTATATTTCACCAAAAAAAGGGAAACTTGAAAGTTTCTGATTAGTAATATTGTAGTGCTTACATTGGACTACAGGTGGCATACATTAACAGTGACTGGGACGAGGATTCCAGAACCATGCACTGGTAGTTGCAGGTACAGAAAACGTGAAAGCTTGATCAACTTGCTTGTGGTGCTTACGTGGGGCTGCTAGCTGCAAACGTTGGATGTCTTGGCAAATAAGGCTGGATTGTGTCAAGAGGCTGGCATGTGGGTGGTGGTGAAACCTTATAATTCTTAGCAGGGGGCTGGCATGTGGGCGGTTGTGAAACCTTAAAATTCTTGCCAAGAGGCTAGCATATGGGTGGCGATTACACCTGGTAATTCTTGCGAAGAGGCAGGAACCTGGGTGACGATTACACTTGGTAATTCTGGCCAAAGGCTGGCAGCTGGGTGGGGGAAGAGGCCTGGTAATTCTGGCCAGGAGGCTGGCATGTTAGTGGAGATGAAACATGATTATTCTTACGGTTTAAATACAGCAGTCATCCACAAGAATGAAAGTTGCTAAGTTATTTGCACTAGGACAGGAAAAATCTTAGTGCCTGCATTCAGTGCAGACTTCTCTTGACTTTCCTTTGTATAGCTTAATCATTCCCTATCCTTTGATATTTTATTTCCATTACAGTCGGCCTGATTTGAGACCGGGCCGCAGTAGTGATTCTCAGAACAATGAACTGATACAGGTATATTTGGAATACAACTGCACCAGGACCTGGGATAAAAAAAAAATAAAAAGCTTGAAAGTAAAGCAAATCAGCTTAACATTCCTCACACTACAGATGGCGTTCTCGACATATTGCCTCGCATTTATTGCATCGATATGTCATTTGTCACCAGACCACACAAGTCCCAGTTCAGATGCCTATTGCCAGATTCAAACATCCTTATATTCAGTTCTCGGGATGGGCGACTTCTATAGACTTAGGACAGTCAAATATTATCTTGACATATCAAGTTTAAGAACTCAAATGCTGGTTTTTACCAACTTTCTCACATTTTAAAATTTAGCAATATTTCATTGATTTAAGTTAACCTAAACTAACCTAACTTAACATTATATACAGAAGAGTTGAAGCTGTGGCGCAACATCGCATAAGTTTTCTTAGGTTTTCTCGATTAATTGTATTAGGACAGGTTACTTCTATCATGATGCACGAGTTTATAGAAAATTCCTTTGCATCTTTTACGTTATATATTTGTTAGGGTTCCGGGATTATCTCAAACCAAGTCTTATTCGTCAACTTGTCAGTATTATAGACTATATATAGCACATGCCGCTTAACATAGAAAGGAAATATTAAAGGACTAAGAACTGTTATTAAATACAGTTACTGTATGTTGAATGAAATGTGCCAGCCGCGTGCTTAAGTTTTTTTCCAGGTAGTATATGTATACATGTGTCTGTGTGTACACTCGCCTGATTGTACTGACTTAGTTGTGGTTGCAAGGATCGAGTCATAGCTCCTGGCCCCGCCTCTTCACTGGTCGCCACTAGGTCCACACACTCCCTGCTCCATGAGCTTGATCATACTTCTTAAAGCTGTGTATGGTACCTACCTCCACTACCTCACTTTTCAGACTATTCCACTTCCTGACAACTCTATGAATGAAGAAATACTTCCTAATATCCCTGTGGCTCATCGGAATCATCTTCCAGTTGTGACCCCTTGTTGTGTCCCATCTCTGGAACATCCTGCCTGTCTACCTTATCGATTCCTCTTAGTATTTTATGTCGTAATCATGTCTCCTTTGTCCTCCAGTGTCGTCAGGTTGAGTTTCCTTAACCTCTCCTCGTAGGACATGCTCCTTAGCTCCGGGACTAGTCTCGTTGCAAACCTTAGCACTTTCTTTAGTTTCCTGACGTGCTTGGCCAAGTGTGGGTTCCAAACTGGAGCTGCATACTCCAATATGGGCTTGGCGTACAGGGTCCGGGACGACTCCTTACCGAGATGCCAGAATGCTGTTCTTAGGTTCGCTAGTCGCCTATATGCTGCAGCAGTTATTTGGTTGATGTGCGCCTCAGCTGTGCTCGGTGTTAAACACACTTCAAGATCCTTTTCCTGGTCCTAGGATTGACCCGTGTGGGTGTGTGTGTGTGTGAGCGAGAGAGCCAGCAGTGCACCAAACATTAAGAAACAGGTGTATACATAGAAACATCGCAGTCAACAGGATTCGAACCCACGTTTGGAAGGTGGCATAGTTCTTCTCGTAATGCAGCAAATGCCTCAAAAAGCTAGGTAGAGGCTATAAAATCACCATTTTTGGCTAGGTCATGATATGAAGAGTAAAGAACTTATGAGGGTGAGTAAGATTTGTCAGAGTAGCTGCCACTTTAACTATTTTTGAGTTGTATTTTTAAAAAAAAAGAGGATTATATGCTAGCAGGGTTCTGTGATGGTGTGGTTTTTAAATAAAGTTTAGATTCTTAGAAGTTGGAAGTAAATTTAGTTTTTTTTTGTAATGGGTATAAACTTTGAGAAGAAAATATTTTTTTATTTTTTAAAAGTTTGATTTATATTTACGTAATATCAATGATTCTAGAAAACATCAATTATTTATCACTAGTTACGAGGGAGCTAGTACTTAGCTGCTATATTGATATTTACAATTTTTACGTAGATTCAAAGGTAGGGAGTATAACAGTGGCTGTTTTGAGTTAATGCAGCTCTGGCGATTGTTAAGTTCTCGCTCTGGTTTGGGTACCTTTATATCGGCCTGGGATTAAGATGAATGAAAGTGTGAGAGCCCTGGAGATGTGACAAGGGGCAGGTAAAGAACTGGAGCTGTGAGATCGGAATTTGCTATGGTGACACAGGATTTCCCTCCGCTGAAACCGTGCTGGTTGTTGTGTATTAGCTCATTCCTTTCTAGGGGTCTCCACCACTCTTCTGATAATCTTCTCCATGACTGCATACTGTACATGTCAGTGACACTGGTCTGTACTTTAATGGTGCGTATCTGTCTCCTTAAAAATTGGCACTAGTGGGGTACGGGGGGAGCGTTATGTTGTTTCTTGTCTTGAATGTCTTTCAGGTATTAGAAAAGTGTACATCCTATAAGTGGGAATAAGAAATATGACGTATTTTTTGTGTTATCTGGTTTTGGGTAATGTAGAGATAGAAATAAGGAGAGGGGGGGGGGTAGTTTTGGTAGTAAACTGTGCCTAATAACTCGTAATGTAGTTTTGGGAGGATTATAATTGAAGAAATAGAGTATTTATTTTTTCCATCTTTTGGTAGGTATTCTGATAATTGGTGAATAGTATTTATATAAAATTTTACTAAAAAACAAAAATCCCGTTTATCAGATTTATCATTTCTTCCCATTTCTGATGTAGAATTGTATTATTCATTACAGTTCATTACATTTAGTGAGAGTATTTCATTTATTCATATGCACCGAGCGCACATACCTTTGATGAGTTAGTTTTCCATTCGCCGCCCGGCCCTCGGCCAGGCTTTAAGATTTTAGAGACTCTGGAACAATACTCTTCTCCTGGTCACAGACCGGGCCGCGGGGGCGTTGACCCCCGGAACTCTCTCCAGGTAAACTCCAGGTAAACTCCAGACTGAGGGACTGACCACCTCAAAACTTTAAGGGTGATGGACTGATTACAT